CTGAAGGAGAGGACGGAGGTCAGATATAAGACTGAAGGGAACGACGGAAGTCAGATAGAAGACTGAAGGGGAGGACGGAGTTCAGATAGAAGACTGAAGGGAAGGACGGAGGTCAGATAGAAGGCTGAAGGGGAGGACGGAGGTCAGATAGAAGGCTGAAGGGGAGGACGGAGGTCAGATAGAAGGCTGAAGGGGAGGACGGAGGTCAGATAGAAGGCTGAAGGGGAGGACGGAGGTCAGATAGAAGGCTGAAGGGGAGGACGGAGGTCAGATAGAAGGCTGAAGGGGAGGACGGAGGTCAGATAGAAGGCTGAAGGGGAGGACGGAGGTCAGATAGAAGGCTGAAGGGGAGGACGGAGGTCAGATAGAAGGCTGAAGGGGAGGACGGAGGTCAGATAGAAGGCTGAAGGGGAGGACGGAGGTCAGATAGAAGGCTGAAGGGGAGGACGGAGGTCAGATAGAAGGCTGAAGGGGAGGACGGAGGTCAGATAGAAGGCTGAAGGGGAGGACGGAGGTCAGATAGAAGGCTGAAGGGGAGGACGGAGGTCAGATAGAAGGCTGAAGGGGAGGACGGAGGTCAGATAGAAGGCTGAAGGGGAGGACGGAGGTCAGATAGAAGGCTGAAGGGGAGGACGGAGGTCAGATAGAAGGCTGAAGGGGAGGACGGAGGTCAGATAGAAGGCTGAAGGGGAGGACGGAGGTCAGATAGAAGGCTGAAGGGGAGGACGGAGGTCAGATAGAAGGCTGAAGGGGAGGACGGAGGTCAGATAGAAGGCTGAAGGGGAGGACGGAGGTCAGATAGAAGGCTGAAGGGGAGGACGGAGGTCAGATAGAAGGCTGAAGGGGAGGACGGAGGTCAGATAGAAGGCTGAAGGGGAGGACGGAGGTCAGATAGAAGGCTGAAGGGGAGGACGGAGGTCAGATAGAAGGCTGAAGGGGAGGACGGAGGTCAGATAGAAGGCTGAAGGGGAGGACGGAGGTCAGATAGAAGGCTGAAGGGGAGGACGGAGGTCAGATAGAAGGCTGAAGGGGAGGACGGAGGTCAGATAGAAGGCTGAAGGGGAGGACGGAGGTCAGATAGAAGGCTGAAGGGGAGGACGGAGGTCAGATAGAAGGCTGAAGGGGAGGACGGAGGTCAGATAGAAGGCTGAAGGGGAGGACGGAGGTCAGATAGAAGGCTGAAGGGGAGGACGGAGGTCAGATAGAAGGCTGAAGGGGAGGACGGAGGTCAGATAGAAGGCTGAAGGGGAGGACGGAGGTCAGATAGAAGGCTGAAGGGGAGGACGGAGGTCAGATAGAAGGCTGAAGGGGAGGACGGAGGTCAGATAGAAGGCTGAAGGGGAGGACGGAGGTCAGATAGAAGGCTGAAGGGGAGGACGGAGGTCAGATAGAAGGCTGAAGGGGAGGACGGAGGTCAGATAGAAGGCTGAAGGGGAGGACGGAGGTCAGATAGAAGGCTGAAGGGGAGGACGGAGGTCAGATAGAAGGCTGAAGGGGAGGACGGAGGTCAGATAGAAGGCTGAAGGGGAGGACGGAGGTCAGATAGAAGGCTGAAGGGGAGGACGGAGGTCAGATAGAAGGCTGAAGGGGAGGACGGAGGTCAGATTCCTCCATAATGACCTCCTCTGGGTTTTCGGTTTCTCCCCTCAGGTGGCTGCAAGGTCAGGATCCAGGCAGACCCGTGGTCGGCGGAGCGCCTCTTCGAGATCCCCGATGAAGAGAGGTGTATAGAGCTTCTGACCGAAATGCGTCTCATCCAGGAAGGTAATGAACTCCACATTAGAGGCTCCGCCTTCTCCTAATGACGTTCCAGGCAGACCGCTACATACATGTATAGGATTGTATGTGCATCCAGTCCTGAGATTTACACAGCTCTGCCACACAGGGCGGGACAGGCAAGCCTACATGTCCCTCCCCCAGCTTGTGATTGGACAGTGAAGGAGGAAGCAGCAGACTGATGAGTTTCTCTCCCTCTCTGGCACTCTGCTCTCTCCTCCTGTCTGAAAGATGAAGTCTAGCTTGCAGTAGGAGTGTCCTTCCCTGGTAAAGGAGAGATTACAGGAGGGAGGGCGTCATCGATGTGCGCTGTTAGGCATGAACATCATCCCTAATGTCTGCCGCTTCTCCTGTCACTGACCAATCACACACTGGGGGAGGGTCCAGACCTATAACTACTCTGCCCTACCAGACTGGGCTGCGCTAAGCGGCAGAGCGGTGTAAATCCCAGGATTGGATAGACAGAAATGCTGCATTCCATCTTTGTATTGAGCCGTTTGCCTGGAGCTCCCCTTTAAGTTTCATCCTTTGTCAGTGTGTGTTATAATGTGACAGGTTCTCTTCACTCTCTGTCTCTTTATTTTCTCTGATTTGCAGGGCGTTCTGCCGGTCGGTCAAAAACTTTACCCAGCAGTTAGTTTTATCTCAGTGTTCTTCCTTTGCTGGCTTTTTGGTCTGCCGGACCATGTTAACTGCTTGGCCTGCCTGTCATTTAACCCCGTGTGATTGGTCGGCGTGACTCTTATCATGTGCCATGGTTTTTTTTCATGAGTGGTGCAGGAAGGGTTAAATTACAGTGCGCACACTGCAGAGTCAGACCACTGCTCTCCAACAAAGCAGCACCCCGGATTTCCTGCAGACTGACGCAACCCCCCACCCCGAACACTACACCAATCAAAAACAGGGGAGGAGTGTTGATTGTTGCAGCGTGCAAAGAGGGCATGTTGGACCCCTGGAGAGCACCGGGCCCCTGCTTTGTGAGTGTGGCGGTCCGGCTCTCCAGCGTGCTGCACTTCCTCTGCACAGGGCTCCGGTCCACAGAACTTCTCAGGTAGCAGGCGTGTTCTCTTGTTGTTTTGTATCCATAGTGGAGCAACGTTGTCACCATATGACAGGCTCCCCCTCAGAGGCTGTCTCATCTCCTGCCTTAGCCCCCTCAGAGGCCGTCTCATCTCCTGCCTTAGCCCCCTCAGAGGCCGTCTCATCTCCTGCCTTAGCCCCCTCAGAAGCCGTCTCATCTCCTGCCTTAGCCCCCTCAGAGGCAGTCTCATCTCCTGCCTTAGCCCCCTCAGAGGCCGTCTTATCTCCTGCCTTAGCCTCCCTCAGAGGCCGCCTCATCTCCTGCCTTAGCCCCCTCAGAGGCCGTCTCATCTCCTGCCTTAGCCTCCCTCAGAGGCCGTCTCATCTCCTGCCTTAGCCCCCTCAGAGGCCGTCTCATCTCCTGCCTTAGCCCCCTCAGAGGCCGTCTCATCTCCTGCCTTAGCCTCCCTCAGAGGCCGTCTCATCTCCTGCCTTAGCCCCCTCAGAGGCCGTCTCATCTCCTGCCTTAGCCTCCTCAGAGGCCCTCTCATCTCCTGCCTTAGCCTCCTCAGAGGCCGTCTCATCTCCTGCCTTAGCCCCCTCAGAGGCCCTCTCATCTCCTGCCTTAGCCTCCTCAGAGGCCCTCTCATCTCCTGCCTTAGCCTCCTCAGAGGCCCTCTCATCTCCTGCCTTAGCCTCCTCAGAGGCCCTCTCATCTCCTGCCTTAGCCTCCTCAGAGGCCCTCTCATCTCCTGCCTTAGCCTCCTCAGAGGCCCTCTCATCTCCTGCCTTAGCCTCCTCAGAGGCCCTCTCATCTCCTGCCTTAGCCTCCTCAGAGGCCCTCTCATCTCCTGCCTTAGCCTCCTCAGAGGCCCTCTCATCTCCTGCCTTAGCCTCCTCAGAGGCCCTCTCATCTCCTGCCTTAGCCTCCTCAGAGGCCCTCTCATCTCCTGCCTTAGCCTCCTCAGAGGCCCTCTCATCTCCTGCCTTAGCCTCCTCAGAGGCCCTCTCATCTCCTGCCTTAGCCTCCTCAGAGGCCCTCTCATCTCCTGCCTTAGCCTCCTCAGAGGCCCTCTCATCTCCTGCCTTAGCCTCCTCAGAGGCCCTCTCATCTCCTGCCTTAGCCTCCTCAGAGGCCCTCTCATCTCCTGCCTTAGCCTCCTCAGAGGCCCTCTCATCTCCTGCCTTAGCCTCCTCAGAGGCCCTCTCATCTCCTGCCTTAGCCTCCTCAGAGGCCCTCTCATCTCCTGCCTTAGCCTCCTCAGAGGCCCTCTCATCTCCTGCCTTAGCCTCCTCAGAGGCCCTCTCATCTCCTGCCTTAGCCTCCTCAGAGGCCCTCTCATCTCCTGCCTTAGCCTCCTCAGAGGCCCTCTCATCTCCTGCCTTAGCCTCCTCAGAGGCCCTCTCATCTCCTGCCTTAGCCTCCTCAGAGGCCCTCTCATCTCCTGCCTTAGCCTCCTCAGAGGCCCTCTCATCTCCTGCCTTAGCCTCCTCAGAGGCCCTCTCATCTCCTGCCTTAGCCTCCTCAGAGGCCCTCTCATCTCCTGCCTTAGCCTCCTCAGAGGCCCTCTCATCTCCTGCCTTAGCCTCCTCAGAGGCCCTCTCATCTCCTGCCTTAGCCTCCTCAGAGGCCCTCTCATCTCCTGCCTTAGCCTCCTCAGAGGCCCTCTCATCTCCTGCCTTAGCCTCCTCAGAGGCCCTCTCATCTCCTGCCTTAGCCTCCTCAGAGGCCCTCTCATCTCCTGCCTTAGCCTCCTCAGAGGCCCTCTCATCTCCTGCCTTAGCCTCCTCAGAGGCCCTCTCATCTCCTGCCTTAGCCTCCTCAGAGGCCCTCTCATCTCCTGCCTTAGCCTCCTCAGAGGCCCTCTCATCTCCTGCCTTAGCCTCCTCAGAGGCCCTCTCATCTCCTGCCTTAGCCTCCTCAGAGGCCCTCTCATCTCCTGCCTTAGCCTCCTCAGAGGCCCTCTCATCTCCTGCCTTAGCCTCCTCAGAGGCCCTCTCATCTCCTGCCTTAGCCTCCTCAGAGGCCCTCTCATCTCCTGCCTTAGCCTCCTCAGAGGCCCTCTCATCTCCTGCCTTAGCCTCCTCAGAGGCCCTCTCATCTCCTGCCTTAGCCTCCTCAGAGGCCCTCTCATCTCCTGCCTTAGCCTCCTCAGAGGCCCTCTCATCTCCTGCCTTAGCCTCCTCAGAGGCCCTCTCATCTCCTGCCTTAGCCTCCTCAGAGGCCCTCTCATCTCCTGCCTTAGCCTCCTCAGAGGCCCTCTCATCTCCTGCCTTAGCCTCCTCAGAGGCCCTCTCATCTCCTGCCTTAGCCTCCTCAGAGGCCCTCTCATCTCCTGCCTTAGCCTCCTCAGAGGCCCTCTCATCTCCTGCCTTAGCCTCCTCAGAGGCCCTCTCATCTCCTGCCTTAGCCTCCTCAGAGGCCCTCTCATCTCCTGCCTTAGCCTCCTCAGAGGCCCTCTCATCTCCTGCCTTAGCCTCCTCAGAGGCCCTCTCATCTCCTGCCTTAGCCTCCTCAGAGGCCCTCTCATCTCCTGCCTTAGCCTCCTCAGAGGCCCTCTCATCTCCTGCCTTAGCCTCCTCAGAGGCCCTCTCATCTCCTGCCTTAGCCTCCTCAGAGGCCCTCTCATCTCCTGCCTTAGCCTCCTCAGAGGCCCTCTCATCTCCTGCCTTAGCCTCCTCAGAGGCCCTCTCATCTCCTGCCTTAGCCTCCTCAGAGGCCCTCTCATCTCCTGCCTTAGCCTCCTCAGAGGCCCTCTCATCTCCTGCCTTAGCCTCCTCAGAGGCCCTCTCATCTCCTGCCTTAGCCTCCTCAGAGGCCCTCTCATCTCCTGCCTTAGCCTCCTCAGAGGCCCTCTCATCTCCTGCCTTAGCCTCCTCAGAGGCCCTCTCATCTCCTGCCTTAGCCTCCTCAGAGGCCCTCTCATCTCCTGCCTTAGCCTCCTCAGAGGCCCTCTCATCTCCTGCCTTAGCCTCCTCAGAGGCCCTCTCATCTCCTGCCTTAGCCTCCTCAGAGGCCCTCTCATCTCCTGCCTTAGCCTCCTCAGAGGCCCTCTCATCTCCTGCCTTAGCCTCCTCAGAGGCCCTCTCATCTCCTGCCTTAGCCTCCTCAGAGGCCCTCTCATCTCCTGCCTTAGCCTCCTCAGAGGCCCTCTCATCTCCTGCCTTAGCCTCCTCAGAGGCCCTCTCATCTCCTGCCTTAGCCTCCTCAGAGGCCCTCTCATCTCCTGCCTTAGCCTCCTCAGAGGCCCTCTCATCTCCTGCCTTAGCCTCCTCAGAGGCCCTCTCATCTCCTGCCTTAGCCTCCTCAGAGGCCCTCTCATCTCCTGCCTTAGCCTCCTCAGAGGCCCTCTCATCTCCTGCCTTAGCCTCCTCAGAGGCCCTCTCATCTCCTGCCTTAGCCTCCTCAGAGGCCCTCTCATCTCCTGCCTTAGCCTCCTCAGAGGCCCTCTCATCTCCTGCCTTAGCCTCCTCAGAGGCCCTCTCATCTCCTGCCTTAGCCTCCTCAGAGGCCCTCTCATCTCCTGCCTTAGCCTCCTCAGAGGCCCTCTCATCTCCTGCCTTAGCCTCCTCAGAGGCCCTCTCATCTCCTGCCTTAGCCTCCTCAGAGGCCCTCTCATCTCCTGCCTTAGCCTCCTCAGAGGCCCTCTCATCTCCTGCCTTAGCCTCCTCAGAGGCCCTCTCATCTCCTGCCTTAGCCTCCTCAGAGGCCCTCTCATCTCCTGCCTTAGCCTCCTCAGAGGCCCTCTCATCTCCTGCCTTAGCCTCCTCAGAGGCCCTCTCATCTCCTGCCTTAGCCTCCTCAGAGGCCCTCTCATCTCCTGCCTTAGCCTCCTCAGAGGCCCTCTCATCTCCTGCCTTAGCCTCCTCAGAGGCCCTCTCATCTCCTGCCTTAGCCTCCTCAGAGGCCCTCTCATCTCCTGCCTTAGCCTCCTCAGAGGCCCTCTCATCTCCTGCCTTAGCCTCCTCAGAGGCCGTCTCATCTCCTGCCTTAGCCCCCCTCAGAGGCCGTCTCATCTCCTGCCTTGGTTGCCTTTTAATTTCCTGCACGCTGTTTTTTTGTCCTGTGGCAGTCAGGAGAGCAGCTCTGGTCTCAGGCAGGATAGGAGGCCGTCTCTCTGCTTTTAGAGCACGAGTGTCACTTTTGCATGGAGAGAAGACAGATTACCAATAATACCCAGTAAAGTGTACCTGTCCTCGAACAATCCAGCAAGAGAAATGTCATATATTGCAGCTCCCCAGTCTTCAGATGTGGAATGCAGACATCTTATAGGCTGTCAGGTCCGGGGCTGCATGTTTGATTTCCTGCCACTGCATGTAAAGTGGGTGAAAGCATCTCTTAATTACAGGAGACTGTTTGTTAAAGGGGAACTCCACCCTCTGATCCTTTACAGCCAAGGAAGGCGCCATCTTAGCCTCCATTTGGATTGCAGTTGCCATGGTGCTGCCCATGTGATCAGCTATGAGCAGCCATTGGAGGGCTTGCAAGTTTGGTTGAGAGCTGAAATAAGCACACGGGCAACCTTGACAGTTGGCACGCCTTGAAAGTAACTGTTTTGGGCGACGATTACATTTACGGGTCGGATTCCACCTTAAAGTTCTTCTTTTTATTAAAGGAGAACTATGAGGGGGGAGTGATTTCCACTCACCTCATAGTTCTAGCCGACCTGTGACAATGAGACTGTCACAGATCGGCTCAGTAGATCGGGAGGTGAGCGAACACATACCGGCGTTCGCTCACCTCTCGATCCTGTCACGGCTCTCTGCTGTGACAGGGGAGGCCCTGGATTCCCCCTCCCCGCTCCGATCTGCCAGCGCTGTCTGGCGGAACGGACAGGGGAGGGGGCGGGTACAGCTGGCTCTGCCTCTAGATAGGCAGAGCCAGCTGTCACTCACGCAGCTGGGCGGATCCCATCATCTAAGACGTGATCCGGCTGCGGCGTCTCAGTACAGCTCGCGGTATACTGAGCCTAGGGTGACGGGAGGACGCTAGTTTGTGTCCTCCCGTTACCCTAAGGAGAACTATGGGGAAAAGCCCTGACCCCATAGTTCTCCTTTTAATCTTTACATTTCTAACAAAGTCAAGAGCCTATCCATGTGTCACAACGTTGTATGTTTCTTCCAGGAGCAGGGCGGTACAGAACCATCCGTCCCGATAAAAAGGATCACTCACCTCATAGTTCTAGCCGACCTGTGACAATGAGACTGTCACAGATCGGCTCAGTAGATCGGGAGGTGAGCGAACACATACCGGCGTTCGCTCACCTCTCGATCCTGTCACGGCTCTCTGCTGTGACAGGGGAGGCCCTGGATTCCCCCTCCCCGCTCCGATCTGCCAGCGCTGTCTGGCGGAACGGACAGGGGAGGGGGCGGGTACAGCTGGCTCTGCCTCTAGATAGGCAGAGCCAGCTGTCACTCACGCAGCTGGGCGGATCCCATCATCTAAGACGTGATCCGGCTGCGGCGTCTCAGTACAGCTCGCGGTATACTGAGCCTAGGGTGACGGGAGGACGCTAGTTTGTGTCCTCCCGTTACCCTAAGGAGAACTATGGGGAAAAGCCCTGACCCCATAGTTCTCCTTTTAATCTTTACATTTCTAACAAAGTCAAGAGCCTATCCATGTGTCACAACGTTGTATGTTTCTTCCAGGAGCAGGGCGGTACAGAACCATCCGTCCCGATAAAAAGGAGTCGTCTAATTGGTACCAGTCCGCCGAGAGAGTAGGGAGCGCGCCCGGGACTTTGTCAAAGTCTTCAAGTTCAGGTATTTCACCTTTTTTCCCATTGTGCGCATTGTAAGGCTCATTCACACGGGCGTGCACATCCGTACAGCATGAGCGCCTGCGCAGAGTCCTGCTCCCAGGAGGGCCTGAAGCTGTGTGTAATTGCGTGCAGCAGCGCGCCGCGTCCTAGACGGCGGCCGAGACGGCGTCTAATCGCCTTGGCAACTACCCGCTCCTGCCGAGTAACGGCCCGGTTTCTCCTGGCGCCACGGTGCACCTGCGATACACAAGGTCAGTTAAGGATTTGAATCTATTGTGGTGGGAATGGATCCAGCGATGGCATTGTTTTCATGGGAGCGGCTTATTTTTATTCTCACTGTGTGATGTCTATATAAAGTTGATGAATCATTTAGTGATGTGTCATTCTGAGCCTGAGGAAGGGGGCCCCTTGTGGCCCCGAAAGCGCTTGTATTGGATGGCAATGTGCCGTTAAAATGGATCATTGATTTACTATCGCGGTGTGCTGGCGACATTATTCTCTTCTTCTATGGGAGGACACGGCACACGGTTACATGTGGTTGTACGGCACGCGGTTACATGTGGTTGTACGGCACGCGGTTACAAAACCTGCACATCTGTGCGGCTGCGGGTACCTCACCATGGACGCGCGCTGTCTGCGTCCAACAGGGTGGCACAGGCTGCTGAACGCAATAACACGCAGCATCTGTCCCTCCCGGGAGCAGGTCTCTTCACTGGTGTACACGCTGTACGCGTTCCTGTGAATGAGTCCTTGAAGTGAATCTGTCAGGTCTGCTAATCTTTGAACTTCTCAACTCTGTAAGTGTCGGCCACACTAATTGTATGTTTGTAACTTTGCCATACATCAGATCTACAGCAATACGACCTTTACATCTTGGTTTTTATTGCACACCATTCACTGCATACATATGTCTCATTGTTGCTGATGAGCCCCGATGAAGGGGGAGTTCTCTGACCGCCGAAATGAGTTGGCTTCAAGTATAGACCCCATCATGCTGTTCATTGGAATGAACTTAAAGGAGAACTATGAGGTGAGTGCTTTTCACTCACCTCATAGTTCTAGCCGACCTGTGACAATGAGACTGTCACAGGTCGGCTCAGTAGATCGGGAGGTGAGCGAACACATACCGGCGTTCGCTCACCTCTCGATCCCGTCACGGCTCTCTGCCGTGACAGGGGAGGGGCTGGATTCCCCGCTCCGATCCACCAGCGCTGACTGGCGGAACGGACGGGGGAGGGGGCGGGTACAGCTGGCTCTGCCTCTAGATAGGTAGAGCCAGCTGTCACGCAGCTGGGCGGATCCCGACATTAATTTTGGGATCGGCTCCGGCTGCGGCGTCTCAGTATATAGGGAGCTGTAGCTCGCGGTATACTAAGCTTTGGGTGACGGGAGGATGCTAGTTTGTGTCCTCCCGTTACCCTAAGGAGAACTATGGGGAAAAGACTTAACCCCATAGTTCTCCTTTAACCACTTACTGCCCGGAGCAATTTCTTACATTTGCCCACACATGATAAAAATCTGAATTTTGGGCTAGAAAACAGCTTCAGACCCCCAAATAATGATATATTTTCAGAAAGCAGAGGCCCTGTAGAATAAAAAGATGCTAGTTGCGATTTTTTTTATGTCGCGCAGTATTTGCGCAAATGTTTATCAAACCAGTATTTTTAGGAAACAATACACTAAAGTGAAATTTAGTACACAGAAACAGAATATATTGCCCATTTTTTTTGGGTCAAATATAAAAGACTGGGTCACGCCGGATAAATAGATACCAAACATGTCAAGCCTTAAAATTGTGTGCGTCCGTGCAACCCGCAAAAACTTTAATACCCCAAATTTCCCATAGGCGACGCTTTAAGCGCTTTTACCGCTTAGTGGTAACAGTGATTGATGGGCCTAGAATTATTGCTTTCACTCCGACGCTCGCGGTGATATGTAACCTGTGTGGTGCAATTTTCGTTTTTTTTTCACGTACACTCATACAACGCGTATTTGCGCTGTATGTGCGTGCACGTGGAGGACGCAGGGCTTTAAATTTTTTTTTTTATCTGCTACTTAAATTTTTACAATTTTTGTATTTGTTACTCAACTTTATTGCTATCACGTGGCGGGCTAACAAGCCCCCTATGTAATAGCAGGTAGGGTGTGACAGGTCCTCTTTATGGAGACATCAGGGGTCTTTCAGACCCCTAATGTCACCTAGGGACCCCAAAGCAGCTGATGAAGCAGAGATCTACTTCACCAGCTTCTTCTCCTGGCTCTAGGAGCCGGTGAATGTGCCCAGTGACACCGGAAGTGATGTAATGCACATCACTTCCGGGTCCAGTGATCGGAGGAGAGTCCAGCGGCTGGAAGCGTGCTGATCTCTCTCCGATCTGATCCAATCCAGCAGGGGAGACCCACCATAGCGGCCCCGGGCGCGGATGGGGGACAGCGGAGCCCGGGAAACCGACGGCGCCACCGGTGGAGGGGGATGAGGGGCACACAGCGCCGCACCGTACAAGTGATCCGGCGCCTGTACGGACTCCAGATCACTTGTCTTTAAACAGCAATCGCCTGCTGTTTAAAGCTGCACCAAGAACCACTTCCAGCGGATGACGTGTATTTACCTGAACCCGCGGGAAATGGTTAATATTTGGTAACAATAATAACTTGACGGGTCCCGGCCCTTATTTACTCCAATAAGTTATTCTAACGAAATGTTCATATTGCTTTTTCTTTCCATCACTTCCACCTTTTCAGAGTTCAGTTGTCACTTTGACTTTGTAGCTCTGCATGCGGCTTAAAATAAATCGGGTTCCCCAGCTACATGGCATTGTTATCTCAGTTGTAGATAACATGCGTCGCACAGTCCGCCATATAGCGTACAGCCGCTTAAATATTAACTATCGGTTAAGCTTCTGACGTTCATCACACAATGCAGCGCTTCCATTGGCTGCGTTACACGGGTGTGTGTTGCTGCTCGTAATCCTGAGCATGTTTACAACTTCTGTGTAATGTATTTATAGGCGCATGGACCTTGTATGTCGGTGTGAGAGCCATCTTGTAAAAGATTCATTGTTGGGCTTTTGATCCTTTTCATTGGAACACAGACTGTAAAAGTGATTCTGTTTATTGTGCAGTAACGTCATCCATTGCCACGATCTTCTGGATTGACCAGCAGTGATGAGTCGGAGGGCGGGAGCTGTGTGGGGGCGAGGGGGGTGCAGTGCCGTCCGTCCGTTTTTTTACTACGGGCGGACGGCAAGAGGTTAATACCGACAAACCGTTATTGATGCATCCCAAGTCTTAACATTATGTATTTGTATGCAGGCTCCCTAGGTAATGATACGTGTGATGCTGAGCCTCCATCATTGAATGAAAGGGGCGGGTCAGGGACAGTCACGCTTGGGAAGGGCAGGACTAGATGATGCTAGATGTCCCCCAACCAGGAAATCAGGTGGGCTCTATGTGACTTGCTGCAGCTTCTAATGCTCATGGTGAGAAGCTCGCAGTGTGCAGGGAAATCGGAAGCTGTAATTCCAGGATAGGAGAGGAGCCAGTACAAGTGGTGCACGGCGGGAGTGCAGCTTTTGCTGTGTTGTTGCCCTTTGTATTTGCTCGTAGTGACTCATCCAGATTTCAGTGACCCGGCCTGCCCCGAGTATACAGCTCTGCGTAACCTTCTCTTCTCCCCTGGCAGGGAATACGGCAATGGAAACCCGCGCCACACATCTGGAGAACAGAAGAAACCTACAGAACCAGCCGGTGGTACGCCGGGAGCCCCCGCCTCCACCCGCACCTCCTCTGGAAAGGCGGTAATGTATATTGGCATGTTCATGTAAACCTGACTCAACCTGCGCAACGCACCGAACGTGAAACTGCACGCCGGCTGACGTCTCCTTCAGTGACAACCCCGGATCTAAACGTCACGGATGTTTGAGGGCCGGTTCACACCACAAAGGCCGCGTTCCAGAGCGTTCGGCCTTGCTTGTGTTCCGGTCCAGTGCCATCTGCAAAAATACTGCAAGCACTATTTTACTGCAGATCACGCTGGACCGGAACGCAAGCACTAATGTGCCTGTGTTCCGGGTGCGCACGGGGGGCGTGGCTGCGGTGCCATTGACTTCAATGCACCGCCACACCCCCTTCCACCCCTGAAGGAATGGAGCCGGCCGGTTTGCGTTCCAGAGGCCGATCGCTCTGGAACGCAGCCTTTGTGGCGTGAACCGGCCCTAAATCTGGTGGCTGAGAAGGGTCAGAGCGGACATTCCGGTGTCTTCTGAAGTATACATCTGCTTGAAACAGTATCATGCTTCAGAAAATCTCCACCTTTTATCATCACAAAGCTGTCCATTGACTCTGCCTAGGCTGAGATATCATCAGTCTGCTGCAGGCAGGAAGAAGCATTTCCTCAGTCTCTCCTCCCCCAGTGATCAGTCTGCTGCAAGCAGGAAGAAGCGTTTCCTCATTCTCCCCTCCCCCAGTGATCAGACTGCTGCAGGCAGGAGGAAGCATTTCCACAGTCTCCTATTCCCCAGTGATCAGTCTGCTGCAAGCAGGAGGAAGCGTTTCCTCAGTCTCCTATCCCCCAGTGATCAGACTTCTGCATGCAGGGGGAAGCATTTCCTCAGTCTCCCCTCCCCCAGTGATCAGACTGCTGCAGGCAGGAGGAAGCATTTCCACAGTCTCCTATTCCCCAGTGATCAGTCTGCTGCAGGGAGGAAGAAGCATTTCCTCAGTCTTCCTTCTCCCTCAGTGATCAGACTGCAACATTGTGACGCGAGAGTCTGATCTGTGCCAAATAGTGTGAATATAGCCAAGAACTGTCCAATCAGCAAGATATCCATGATTGCATCATCCCTGAGCCAACATCCCAGTCCAGGAAGCAGATGGTGACCCGGGATGATGCCGGACTATAGATGGCGCCGTCCTTTAAAAGCATCGTCTGGGAATTTTGTGATCTCTGTGAAAAGTAATAGATTCCTGGAAATGTTCTACTTCCATATCACTGGGAATGGAGCACATAACATGAAAGACATCTCATCGTACCTCTACATTTGTAGCATGTGCAGTGTGATTTCCTCTTTGTACCCCAAAGCTCGCTCTGTGATGTGCCCCCCCGAGTTCTCAATCGTCACCTCTTTGCAGGCTGTCTCAGACAAGAGACCCCCCCGGAAGGGAGAAGCCACAAGTGTCCAACACCATGCGGAAACTGTTCGTGCCGACCAGCCAGTCTGGCCAGAGGGAAGGACTGATCAAGCACATCCTGACCAAGAAGGAGAACGAATATGTCAACATTGAAAACTACAAGTATGTAGATTGGGGGTGTCTCTGATTATTAGAGAACACACACGGGAGCGTTATTAGGAAGAAAAGTAGGGCTGTTACTGATTAACATTTTTGTGTTTGATTAATCGAAATATTTTTAAATCGATTAATTTCGATTAATTATAACGCACATACAGATCCAACTACATTGGCCTATACACATACAGCACAGCAATGACCTATACACATACAGCACAGCAATGAAGTAATACAATGAATTAGGATCACACTAATCCAGCACGTTATTAATCTCACGTGGCCCACTCAATATGGCCGCCGCTTGAGTGGGGCAAGATTAATAACGTGCTGGATTAGTGTGATCCTAGTTCATTTTATTACTTCATTGCTGTGCTGTATGTGTATAGGCCAATGCCTTGGCTGGCGCTCGTGCAGAAAGTTTCAAAAACATTTTAATCGATCAAAAAAATGTTTAATCGATCAAAAAGATTAACTATTAATCGAGAAATTAATCGTTAATTTTCACAGCCCTAAAGAAAAGCCAAAGCATTCCTTGAAGGTCCTCTCGTGAAGGATGCCATAGGCCAGTGTTGGGCAACTCACTAGCTATAGGGGACCTGAGCTGCGGCCCATGCCATCCCCAGTGGGCCGCACACAATGTTCAGTATTCGTGGTGCTACAGAGGATTGCCAGAGACTGGTGACAGCATGTCAACGTTGCACAACATTATGTGCGGCCCACTGGGGATGACATGGGCCGCCGTTCAGGCCCCCTATATCTAGTAAGTTGACTAACGCTGGTCTACATGTGTAGTTGATGGGCTCGGGCATGTTCGCAGCTCCACGTGCCTAAACCGCCAGGAAGCTGACAGCTCGCAGCGCCAATCACAGGTACTGGGACATTTTCACGGTCCGCAGCTGCAGAGATCGGGAAATGTCGCCGTACCTGTGATTGGCGCTGTCAGCTTCCCGGCAAGCTCGGCACGTGGCGCTGCGAACACGGCCAAGCCCATCCTTACTCACATCCTTGTCACATGAGACTGATAGAGATGGCTGCCCCTTTATTTTTTTTAATACAGGTGTTTATATAGCGCTGTCAATTTTTGCAGCAATTTTACATCACATTGACATCAGGCCCTGGCATCAAGGAGCTTACAATCTAAGGCCCTTATCTCACATGCATGTCTTTGGGGTGTGGGAGGGAACCGGAAACCCACGGAAAGCATGCAAACTCCATGCAGATAGTGTCCTGACCAGGATTTGAACCGGGGGCCCCCAGTGCTGCAAGGCAGAAGAGCTAACCTCTACACCATGCCATATAGACAAGAGCCAGTTACCCTACTGGCATATCCTTGGACTGTTGGAGGAAACCCACACGAGCACAGGGAGAACATGCAAACTCTGAGCTCATAGTGTAGCATGTAAACTCCATGCTGATCGTGTAAGCACAGGGGTAGGCAACCTCGGCACTCCAGCTATGAGGAAACTACGAACTCCATTAAGCCTCTGCCTGTGGGAGTCATTACCGTAGCTGTCAAAGTCTTGCAATGCTTCATGGGACTTGTAGTTCCAAAATAGTTGCAAGGTTGCCTCCTAAAACTCTATGCTGATAGTGTAACATGCAAACAATATGCTGAGAGTTTCCTGGCTGGGTGTTTTCCTGAGGACACCAGTGCTGGAAGGCAGAAGTGCGAACCACTGAACTTTACAAGTTCATGTTCCCTGTGCTGGCTGCTGGGACCCCAAGGGTTGCACCATCATTATTAAAGGGCCGCAGGCTGAGCACTCGTGCCATAGACCATGGTTTTCATGTGCGTGTGTTTCAGACTGCCTTGGGGTTTTACCCCCTTTCTCTGCCAACACCGTATGCTGTATGTCACTGGCAGCGGGCCCCTCTAAACAGACTCCTGGTGGCTCTACTCATTTTAGCTGTGAAACAACAATTCATTGAACAATGAATACGTGGCTGCAATAATTTGTGTCTAATATCTGCATGGAGTTCAGCTTTAAAATACATTTTGTTGCCTGGAGAAAACGTGCTTCCTGTCCCCCTAATCCAGTGCTCTGTGCTGGCAGGGCAGAGTAACGGCCCCACCCATCACACAGACTTGTAATGCTGTGGAACAGAGGGGGGCGTCTCTGACCAGGTCTATTAGAATGAGGAGGATGGGATATGGGAAATGTCTGTAATGTTTAGTCCCCGGAATCAAAGAGGACTCCTAGCTGAGTGCTCCCAGCTTCCGGGGTCACCTCTGTCTGCATTCGGTCTTGTTACTAGAGTCATCCTTCACAATCCCAGTACAACAATGGCTGTTTGTGAGTTTCCCTGACTGTTCAGATTCCAGATAACACATCTGTGTGTGACCACGCTGCTGAGGAATGTCCTATCCTGTCTCTTAGATTCTTTATAGGAACGTGGAATGTAAACGGTCAGTCTCCAGAAGGCGGATTAGAACCCTGGATGCACGCCGATGCAGAGCCCCCCGATGTCTACGTCATTGGGTGAGCGTCCGAGGACATCTCTTCTGTTTCCTGCATTTTATTTAGGAGAATGTTAATGTAACAAACTAACAAACTACCAATGGACATCTGTGCAACTCAGCGTTGTGATACACTATATACTCTATATACTCAGTGATACACTTTATACTCTATATACTCAGTGATACACTATATACTCTATATACTCAATGATACACTTTATACTCTATATACTCAATGATGCACTATATACTCAGTGATACTCTATATACTCAGTGATACTCTATATACTCAGTGATACTCTATATACTCAGTGATACTCTATATACTCAGTGATACTCTATATACTCAGTGATACAGTATATACTCAGTGATACTCTATATACTCAGTGATACTCTATATACTCAGTGATACTCTATATACTCAGTGATACACTATATACTCAGTGATACACTGTATACTCAGTGATACACTGTATACTCAGTGATACACTGTATACTCAGTGATACACTGTATACTCAGTGATACACTGTATACTCAGTGATGCACTGTATACTCAGTGATGCACTGTATACTCAGTGATAGACTGTATACTCAGTGATAGACTGTATACTCAGTGATAGACTGTATACTCAGTGATAGACTGTATACTCAGTGATAGACTGTATACTCAGTGATAGACTGTATACTCAGTGATAGACTGTATACTCAGTGATACACTACCCTGAGTGGCCAGATTATTATGACCACCTGACGTTTGTAGGCAAATTAGCTATAATTTGGCGCTGAAGTTGCTAGAGGGCCAGACCATTATAAATAAGGAAGCGGGTTGGTTACCACGAAAGTAGAAGTGATTTGTTTCTGAAGATACGGGGAAACAACGCGATGTAACAGCCTTTGAACGTGGGATGATTGTTGGCGCTCGGAGCCATGGAGCGAGTATCAGCAAAACAGCAGAATTCGTTACATGTTCAGGAGCGGCTCATTGTTAAAGTGTTTAAAGACCGGACTGTCAGCCGAAAATCTGGGTCTGAACGTGGGAATTGTGGCCGTCAGCGACTAGTCAATGTTAGGGCAGAACGGGGGAGGGGCAAGACTGGTACAAGACAACAGAAGGGCAACAGTGCCGTGTCAGATTCCTCGCATCACCTTTCAACATCTCGAGGAGTCACGAGGCGGCCCAACGAAGTACTGATGGGGTGGTCATAATAATCTGGCCACTCAGTGTATATCTGTTGTATTTAAATCTATGCTGCGGTGTCAGAATACATGTAAAAGGTATGTAAACCTTATAGCTGGCCACACACTGAGGCCTCTTTCACACGTCTGTTAACATCAGGCATTATAGAAGCGTTTTTAAAGCCTCTCTGCTGCCTATTAACGCTCATGTGGGATAATACAATAGCATCTGCCTAGTGCAGTTCACACATTATTATTATACAGGATTTATATAGCGCCAACAGTTTGCGCAGCGCTTTACAATATAAGGAAGAAATTACAATCACAATACAATTCAAGACAAGATGGTAAGGAGGGCCCTGCCCCTGAGGGCTTCCAATCTAAAAGGGAGGGGCCAGTGATACATGAGGAGGGAGCTGTGTGGGGATGGATTTTATGAGAATGTGATGGTTGAGTGGTTAGGTTGAGGTGGGATCGGCTTCCCTGAAGAGATGAGTCTTAAAGGAACGCCTAAAGGCAGTCAGAGTGGGAGATATTTGGACAGGTTGGTGTAAAGAGTTCCATAAGATGGGAGAGACTCTAGAGAAGTCCCAGAGCGTTGTGTTGCTGTGTGTTCAATAATAGAGTGCATGCTGCACTCCGGACAATTGCCTCCATTGAAGTATATTGAAATGCCCTTTTAAATGCTCGGTCAGTGCTCCTATAGCATTTTTCGCACAATTAAGTGTTGCACAGGTGTTTTAGGAGAGGCATATGAGGTTTTGGAATCCCAGAAACCAATGGGGAATCATAGGTAGTGGACAGAACAGGTGCAGATGCCACTACCTGCCTGCACACAGCCAGCAAGAGCACAGCTTCTAGCCAGGTACTTGCAACCTATGACAGCCTGACCTATGCCACCCTGTAGTGCCAGCTGTTAGTGTCTTCCAAAGCAGTGCCAGCCATACCGTTGCCAGACATTGCAAGTACCAGCCAGAACCTGTCAAGTTTGAAATAAATGTTGCTCTGCTAGGGATGGGGCAGGGGAATGCCCGGTCACCGCAGTCTCTCCTCCCCGATGGTGCTGGCTGCAGTGGTCTGTTCCCCACGCTGCCGATACAGGGGGGATTGAAAGGGAGAGAGACCGCTGCAGCCGACACCAGAGAGGAGGAGAACAGAGGAGCAGAGTGGCAGTGGAGGATTCAACTAATCGAAAATCAACTAATCGATAATGAGAATCCTTGACAACAACTCTCATTATCGGTTTGATCGATTAGTTGTTTCAGCCCTAGCCTTGTTCATGCTGTGTTAATCAGCGTTGCTCTTTCATTAAATTGTCAACGCACGTGTGAAAGAAACCTTAGAGATTTCTTTAACTCACACTAAACAGGATGAATCTCCCACCTGCCGTGCTTTGGCTGCATTGACTGGTTGGCCAACAATTTTCCTTGCAGCGCCTTTGCTAAAGTTTGGGGGCAGAGTGGTTTGTCTGCCCTCAATTATTACCGTGTGGCCCTTCAATTCTAGACGTATTCACGTTGCAAATCTATTGGCTGTGCAGGATTCCAAGCGCAGAGAGAGATCGCCTATGCACACAAAAACTGTTGAGTAGACTTTGCTAAACGAGAGACAACATAAGCTGCAGATATTTGTGTTGCCAATTTGCTTCATACATGTCCTCCATCGACTCAATTTATATCCCCGGCTCAGTCTCGGTGTTTCCCGGACAATGTTGCCAGTTCACTGATTTTATTTCCCCGATTGTTGCTGGGTGAAGATTTGGTGATGACAAGTTGTGTGGCTCATTGTAATAAGTACAGACTGTTGTCACCAGCGGGTCCCGTCCTTTCGGTGCACACAGAGTCTCCCTGAGACGCATTGGTTGTCTCTTTGGGGCGACACGTAGGCAAAGCTTGTCCAGGCATGACTCTGACATAATGCCGTGTGTGTGTGTGTGTTTCAGATTCCAGGAGCTGGACCTCAGCACAGAAGCTTTCTTCTACTTCGACTCAGGAAAGGAACAGGAGTGGCTGGAGGCTGTAGAGAGGAGCCTCCACCCCAAAGCCAAATATAAGAAAGTGAGTCTGTAAACAGCGCTGGGGAACAACACACCGCCGAGATATTTATGGAAACTAAAAGAACGCAGATAGAGCAGTGAGAGATTCAAATGAAAACATTTACTGCTTAAAGGAGAACTACGGGGTGCCAGTGTTTTTCCCCATAGTTCTCCTAAGGGTAAAGGGAGGACACAAACTAGCGTCCTCCCGTCACCCAAAGCTCAGTATATAGGGAGCTACAGCCGGGACAGATCCCGACATTACTCTCGAGATACACCCAGCTGCGTGAGTGACAGCTGGCTCTACTTATCTAGAGGCAGAGCCAGCTGTACCCGCCCCCTCCCCCCGTCCGTTCCGCCAGTCAGCGCTGGAGAAGGGGGGGGGGGGGGGGTGGGAGAATCCCTGCAGGGAGCCATGAGTGACGGTCACGGCTCTCTGCACCGATAGATCGCGAAGTGAGCAAGGCCCGGTATGTGTTCCCTCACCTCCCCATCTACTGAGCCGACCTGTGACAGTCTCATTGTCACAGGTCGGCTCGAACTATGAGGAGGGATTTTCACTCACCTCATAGTTCTCCTTTAAAGCAGAACTCCGGGAATTCTCTTTTATGGGAACTTACATTGTTCCAGCTTGGCTCAGTGTAAGTATCTATATCTGATCTGTGGAGGGCTGCTGAAAATCACTATAGTACTCCGCACTGAATGCAGTGAAAGCAAGGACGGTCAGACTGAGACTGAGACGGTCTGTACAATAAGCACTGGCAGTCGCTTGCTCTGCACTTCCGCCATGCAAAGAATGACTTGTATTTTTTTAACGAGCCATTCTCTGATTGGACAAGGTTGAGAGGAAGGGAGGATGAATTCACAATGTCCACCTTATCCAATCAGAGGATGCTTTGTATTCATTAAAATAAAGTACAAGGCATCCTTTGAATGGCGGCGGTGCTGAGCGAGTGACTCCCTGCGCTCAGTGTGCAGAGGGGAAGCCACTGGAGCCTCCGTTTGAGGTTCCTTGCTATCACTGTATGTAGCACAGAGTACAACAGTCATTTCCAGCATCCTGAGCAGTAGTGCTGCAACTAACGATTATTTTTATAATCGATTAGTTGGCCAATTTCATTTTTTTTTCGATTAATCGGATTTAAAAAAAACCACATCCTCAATTTAAAATAAAATACACAAATGCAGTGTTACAAACACAAAGTTTACTTCAGAATAAAACTGCATGCATATTCTTTGCACTCGCACCGCGCTGGAACGTATGGCATTGCAGTACCGTGCGTTTCAGTGCAGGGAATCGCACTGCAGGCGGGAGGGGCGTTTGGGATGCCATTGAAATTAATTGCACCACAACGCGCATTCCGGAGCTGAATTTTCAGACCAAAACCAAAAAATGACGCTTGCCACCTCATTGCTCTCAGCTGCTGAAGAGAGTTTTGCTGCTGGCTTTCTACCGTCGGCAGAAGAGGAGGGCATGGGGGCAGCAGAGGTACAGGTGCAGCAGCGCAGGAATGGGGGGGATCAGCATAGGAACAATGACAGCATGGAGGAACGGGGGGGGGGGCACCAGCAGGGTAATGCAGAGGCACAGCAGTGTCTCCTTAGCTAGTGCAGCCTGCAGCGGTCTGTGTCCCCGCTGCCTCTGCCGACACAAGCAGGAGAACGGAGGAGCGCAGCGGCTGCAACTAATCTAACAATCAACTAATCGATAATGAGAAAAGTTGATAACGATTCTCATTATCGATTATTATCGATTAGTTGTTGTAGCCCTCCGGAGAACAGATATGGATAGCTGGACCTCTGTAAGTGTCTAAAAGACATACTTTCTAGAGTTCCACTTTAAATTAACAGTCACCAAAATTGACTGAAAAGTCACCATCCAATAGTTCCAGGTATGTCTGAGGCATGCAACCCGCCCTCTGTGCGCTTTCACTCAGCGGGTTCACTCGCATCCTGTCCATGAGTGGGAATCCCAAAGTCAGGAGATGATCGTAGATCTCCCAATAGGGCCGTCTGTTCCTGTGACAGCAGTCATATGGGGGATTCATATATGCCATGTGGTCACATGATTCGGAAGACCTCCCCAGCACAGAAACGAGCACCAATTAACACCCCACAGAGGTTCTGACCCGTATTTGTACCCAAAACAATACAAATAATTTTTTTAGCTCTGGTTCTATAAATTTAGTAACCGTGGCGACCACAATGCTGGTACATGGTTCACCTTGCTGACCTTTTATATCTGTTTGTGTCTTTCAGATCCGTCTGATCAGGCTTGTGGGGATGATGATGCTGGTGTTTGCCAGGAAGGAACACTTCAAGCACATCCAGGAGGTTGCAGCAGAGTCTTTAGGCACAGGGATCATGGGGAAAATGGTAAATAAGTCTACGAAGGGCGGCAGCACTGCAGGCATTGTGCGCATATTGCTTTGCATTATCCTTGGTTGGTGTGTATTTCTCTACAGCAAGCAGAGGCCTCTCTAGAGCCAGAGCCAGCTGTGCCAGCCCCCACCCCTGTCTGTCCTTCCAATGAGCACTGGAGGAACAGAAAGGGGAGAAATCCCTGCTGGGAGCGGCGACTGACGGTCAGAAAACTTTCACTTCAGTATATTCATCAATAGCCGCAAAGGATATTATTATTGCACTTTGTGTACACATGCCTTTGCAAACCAAGATATTACCCTAAACGTATCGGTGGCATCATCACTGTGTTGTACATAGTCTGTGCAGAACTGTAAGAGGGGCCCTGCAGACACCACACACTGCATGCTGCCTGCAGTAAACTACAGGAGGGGGCGGAGACAAGACCAGTCACCCTGCACAAGGAGAGAGAGCAGCAGCGAGCAGTCTGTATTACAGGAGGGGGTGGAGATAAGACCAGTCACCCCTCACAAGGAGAGAGAGCAGCAGTGACCGGTCTTTATTACAGGAGGGGGCGGAGATGAGACCAGTCACAATGCACAAGGAGAGAGCGCAGCAGTGAGCGATCTTTATTACAGGAGGGGGCGGAGATGAGACCAGTCACCCTGCACAAGGAGAGAGCAGCAGTGAGCGGTCTTTATTACAGGAGGGGGCGGAGACATGAACAGTCACCCTGCACAAGGAGAGAGCAGCAGTGACCGGTCTTTATTACAGGAGGGGGCAGAGATGAGACCAGTCACCCTGCACAAGGAGAGAGCAGCAGTGACCGCTCTTTATTACAGGAGGGGGCGGAGATGAGACCAGTCACCCTGCACAAGGAGAGAGAGCAGCAGTGACCGGTCTTTATTACAGGAGGGGGCGGAGACATGACCAGTCACCCTGCACAAGGAGAGCGCAGCAGTGAGCGGTCTTTATTACAAGAGAGGACGGAGACGAAAACCGGTCACCCTGCACAAGGAGAGCGCAGCAAAATACTGTGACCTGTAGTGACTCCCTGCAATGACATTGACACCCCTTGCTGTCTTGCTTTCCTTGTTGACTCCACATGCTGGCACTCTGTGTGTGATCCCCAGGAAGCACAAATTTGATGGTGACAATGCTGCTGCATCTGCTTAGGGTGGGAAGAATGGC